GGAAATCCTCCTTGATTAATTCTTGTAAGGACATAAAGGTTAGAGCCATTGTTCCATCCAAACAAGGCCTGGAAACAAAACAAAGAAGAGTCAAAATGCACTCATCTTATTTGTACACCCATCATCTGAGTGACAGTCCTGCTGAAGGCTGCAATCCCAAGAAAAAGACAGGCTGACACATGGGAGGAACAAGGAGAAAGAGAGAAGCAGATATATGGGTGAGAGGAGAGGGAGACAGGGTCACGGTCTGGCCTTCATCATATATCTGTCCTTGTGCATGCTTCTGTTTAGTTGGATGTGTATCTTTAGCGAGCACCTGTGGAAATTTTTGCTTCCTGACACTATGCAGAAATGTTTGAATCTATTCGCCCTGGGGACATAGGCAAGAAAGAGTTGAGCATCCAGGAATTTTATCCCCAAAATTACTAAAATGTATAGTCTAGACAGACACAAGGAATGGCAGGTGAGAGAACTATGCTAATTTAAGGAAGAATCTATCTGGGATCTGAGTTGGATCAGCTGACACACTGAAGTTCTCTAGAGCTCTGACCCAAATTACTTACTGAAGGAACTCATGTTTTTTATGAATTTTAGAACATACACCAAAGATTAGGCTATAACAAATTCTAACAAACCAATTATGGACAATACAATGCAATTATCATATTAAGGTCAGAAATAAGGTTCGTTAGCAGCAACATTGGCATTAAATCATCAGTTTAATCAAACCATCAAATTAACACAGCAAATAATCACTTTATCCCAAAACAGGAAGTTCAAGGAGTTAGTTAATTAATTTAGTTACAAACCACCGGAACTCTTACTCACAGCACCAACAAAAGTCTTTAGTTGGGTGAATATTTCAGTATAAAAACCAAATTGACTTACGTCTATAGCGCTCCCTCAGAAGCCAATTAATGCTTTCCTCCCAGAACTTCACTGTAAGGTACTGGTTTCTGGCACTTAGTGCTTTTTGCCAGTGGATGTAAAGTAAAAATGGGTCCACCTCTGATGGAGACACTATTTCTTCAAAATCAGTAGTGAATCCTGTCTTGGTGTATCAGAGAGACCTGGGACAACTTAAAAACAGGCACATGAATTAATTTTATTTTGATTCATCACAAAATACTTAAATAACTTATGTCATGACAAAACATATGGTTAGTGTAAAAGGGTAGCAAGCCCATTTGAGGGCTAGAGGCCTGGGGCCAACCAACCCTAGTTACTAGACAGGCACATCTGAGCAGGGATCAGGTGATTCCCTTATGGGATGTGTGTGTGTGTCAGAGCCTGCAGAGAGCAAGAGGCTCTTGAAGGAAACCCCTGACCATGCAGTAGGGTTTGAACCTCAGAGCCAGGGGCTGAAGAAAGCTGAGGGCCAGAGAGAGCAACCTCCACACCAGTAAAACAAACAAACAAACAAAAAAAACAATTCCTCCTCCTCCAGCCAGGTAGGTCCGAGAGTGGTCTGCCAAGGCAGGGAAGAGCTGCAGAGAACAGACTCAAGGGATAAAGAGAAGCCCCACAACTGAGTTTTGTTTTGTCTCTTATGTCAATTAATTAGACCCTGGGAGGAAGGGCATTACTGGGCAAAAAGCCCCTGTGGAGTTTATTTAAGAAGATCCCTGAAAGGGGAAGTTGAAGCATGGCTGCTGCAGAGCTATCTCAGGCCACAAAGGGGCACTTGAGAGGCGGCCTGCCTGTGACAGTAAAATTAATGCTGCATTAAGCATCACTCAGTAGTAAAAAAAAAAAAAAATTACCCTGAGCTCTGCTAGGGCTATTTCCAGGGCGCCCAGAGGATTCAGGGGACCTGGGGCAAAGCGGGGGAGCTGCGGCCAGCTCACCCAGCAGCAGTCTGGGTCTTCGACGGCATTTCGGCAGTGGGGGGCCCTTCAGTCGCTCCGCGTCTTTGGCAGCACTGAAGGACCCGCCGCCGAAAACCCAGAGCGACTGAAGGGGCCCCCGCTGCCAAAGACCCGGACCGCCGCCAGGCCAGGGCTTGCGGGGCCGCTGCAGGGCCCAGGGCAAATTGCCCCACTTGCCCCGCCCCGGGTGGCCTTGGCTATTTCTGCCCGTTTATCTGGCCATTTGCATGGGCACTTACCTGATCCATACACGCACTGGCAGCAGTTAGGTGCACACACATGCAGACAGGCACATATATTTCTAAATCTGGTCATTCAAGTCAAATTGTAAACTGTGTGTAGCAGGGATTGGGGCCATCGTGTGAGTCTACAGCCATGGTTCTCAACCGGGAGCCCCAGCGCTTCCCCCCCCCCGCCTGAAGCAGGGAGCCGCACTGAGAGCCCCCCACCCCATACACAGCCCCTAGCTACCCCCTGCTTGCACCCTGAGCGGTTTTCAAACTTTTTGAACGGAGTGCCCCCTTTGAGTTATAGTTTTTGGTTGTCCCCCCACAGCCCAGACAGGCTGGGTGGGTGGGCGAGTCGGGGGGGGGGGCGCTCGCGCTCCCTGAACTCTGCTGTGCAGCGCTGGCTCGAGCCCCCCCCAGCCCTTGCCCCCCCCAAACAGAAGTACAATTATGCCTATGCCCAAGGGTCCCCCCCAGCCCAGAGCCCCCCGACGGCCCTGGAGTTTTCACGGCCTGTCCGGGGGAGGGAGGGGGGCTCAGCGAGGAAAGGTTGAGACCCCCCCCGTGTACAGCGCCTGCCAGGGCGGCACCTCGTCCCGAGGCAGCCTCCAGCAGGGCTGAAACGGGGCAATAACTAGCCCCCGCGGGGCCGGGGGGGTCTGTCTCGGGGGGCAGCGCGCGGAGCCCCCCCGGGCTGCCCAGCACCCGAGCCGCTTGGGGCCTGCGGCGGCTCCAGGTGCGGGGCCGGGGGGACCAAGGGACGGGGGGGGCCGGGGCCCTGCCCCGCTCACTGCCCTTCGCGCCGCCCCGTTCCCGCCAGCGCGACTCACCCGCCGCCGGCCCAGCGCGACAGGGACACGGCCACTTCCGCTCCCGAGCTGCGCAGGCGCGGCCAGCGGGGGCGTCATCGCACTTCCGGGAGCCGCTCCACGTCCGCCCGCCCGCCGCCCCGGCAAGGGCGGGAAGAGGGGGGGGGAGGACAGGGAGGTGAGGTAGGGCAGGGGTGGGGGGGACTAGGGGCAGGAGGGAAGACGGAAGGGTGGGAGGGAGGGAGGATGGGATGGGAGGGAAGAAGGGAGGACTGGAGGGAGGAAGGGCAGGGGGTGAGGGGTAGGGAGGAAGGGCAGGTGGGGAGGACTGGGGGCGGGAGGAAAGAAAGGAGGACGGAGGTGAGGTAGGGCAGGGGAGGGTGGGACTAGGGGGCTGAGGGAGGAAGGCCAGGGGGTGAGGGGGGCTGGAGGGAGGATGGGATGGGAGGGAAGAAGGGAGGACCGGAGGGAGGAAGGAAGGACAGGGGGTGAGGGGTAGGGAGGAATGGCAGATAGGGAGGACTGGGGGTGGGAGGGAAGACGGAAGGGCGTGGGGGAGGAGGGAGAGAGGATGGGATGGGAGGGAAGAAAGAAGGGAGGACTGGAGGGAGGAAGGGGTGGGGAGGACTGGGTGGCAGAGACTCGGTGAACAGGGCAGGGACATTTTCAGCTCATGGCATCCATGCCCAGCTGCTAGCAGCTGCACACCAAGGCCTGGGCTGCACTACAAGGTAAGGGTGACAAGCTGCCTTGTGTTGGCCTAGCTCTGAAGTGTCTTTTCTTAAATTTGGCTCCCAAGTGTCTCTCGGCACCGAGGCATGGAGTCAGTCGATGCAGTGTCAGTGTAGACGCTGCTTTGCTTACGTTGATGGTTGCTGGCCTCAAGGAGCCGTCACACACTGACAATCCAATCAATACAAGCGCTCCTGGTGAGGACATGCACCACCAATGCAAGGCACCAAGTGTGCACGCACACAAGAGACTTAATAGCTGTGGGGGCTGTATTCCAATTTAAGTTAGGTTGATATAATTTTGTAGTGTAGACATAACCTAATTAGAGCAGCCCTAAGGCTGTTTTAACTCATGCCTGTATCTTTCTCTTATTTTTTTTCCTATTTGAACAGTGCCTTAGAGGGTAAGTGAGCTCCACTCTTTCCTGATTACAGTGATTAGAGTTGTAGTGTTTCCAACTCTTGTGAGTCACATGATCTTTGTCTAGGTTTCTGGCAGAGAGGGGTAGGTGGACTGCATGGGACATGCAGGCCAGGAGAAGATTGGGGTAGGAGGGTTATGGTAGAGGAATAGAGAGTGCAGAACTGAGGTGGGGGTGATTGAGAAACAGGGAAGACTTCTGATAGTGAGGTCATTGGTGATTGGTTCCAGGGGAAACTCTCATGGTGCACCTACCTGAAGGAATATCTCATTCGTCCCCATTATGGTCCACTTCAGACAGTCAAAAGTTATGAGTCAGGTCCCAAAAAAATCATGTCACTTGTTTTAATTATTGAGGTCTTGTAGGGCTATCCTCACTATGAGCTCAATTGTTGGGAAGTGGAATGAAAGCTCATAAAAAGTTACTAGAACCCATAACTATTAATGTTATAAATAAATAGATATATCCTATCTCCTAGAACTGGAAGGGACCTTGAAAGGTCATTGAGTCCAGCTCCCTGCCTTCACTAGCAGGACCAAGTACTAATTTTGCCCCAGATCCCTAAATGGCCCCCTTAAGGATTGAACTCACAATCCTGGGTTTGAGCAGGCCAATGCTCAAACCACTGAGCTATCCCTCCTCCCAGGGAAAGGGCATATATGAAAAGGAGACAGCCTGGTTTGGTATAAACAGAAAAGGATGACTGATATGACACAAGGATTATGGTGAGGTCAAGACTGTAAACAAGAGGGGATAGGAACCAGAAAATAATAGGCCTAATTTCTGACACACCCAATTTTGGTCCAGTGGTGGGTAGAACAATAAGGACCTATTTGACCCATTGCATCCCTCGCAGACTTCTAAAAAGAGACTTTGGGGAGAAAAAATATGGATCCTGGGGGATTACTTGGGGAATGGTCAACAAACTTCTGCTTTGTTCCAGACACTGCCCTTTGATGATGAACTTTAAGGATCATTGGAGATGCCCAGACCTCAGCACACCAGTGAGGACATTTGGCCATCACAACTGAGCCAGCAAGGACCTTAGGTTGATACGTGTGAAATCCTGCTTTGTCTTCCCTTTCCTCGTATGTTCTTTCCAGTTCCTCACTATCTTCCTCCTATTCCTTTCTTCTCTCTGCATGCTTTCGATCTGACCCTGAGACCAGCTGCATCATACAACACCAGCACAAAAAGATAAGGCCATCTAGCTTGAGACGGACTGGTAAAGAGAAACAAGCCAGAGTCCAGAGCAACTGCTGTCCTGGCTGACCTGCCAGCCCAGAGCATCCATCTGTGATTGACTGGCCATCTTGACTTTGGGAACGTCAACAAAAAGCTGTATTTCCTCACCCTTGCATCTATCTTTCTGCTCAAAAGCAGGAGTAACCACAAAACTCACAGCTGAGGTTTGTCTGCACTACAGAGCATTGGCCAATATAGCTGTGCCAGCAGAGGACTGTCATATAGATACCCTGTAAGCCAGCAGAAGGCGTTCATCTGCGAGCATAGCTACACAACCTCCCTGAACAACATTAGCTATGCTGACAGAAGCACTCTCCTGGTGGCGTAGTTACAGCTATTCAGGGTTTTTTGCCAGCATGGCTGTGGTGTTGGGTTTTTTTTCACACTTACAGCTGACATAGCTACAGTGGCAAAACTTTGCAGTGTAGACCAGGCCTGAATTTTAAAAAATCCAACAACAGAACTTACCACACACACACACACACACACACACACACACACACACACACACACACACACACACACACACACACACACACACACACACACACACACACACACACACACACACACACACACACACACACACACACACACACACACATCATATCTATATTACAAACTTCTGCTGGCATAGCTATGTCTGTCAGGATGTGAAGAGGCCCCGATTGACAGCTATATTGTCAGAGCAGCTTATATTTGCAAAAATGTAGTTTTGCCAGTATAACTGCATCTACACTTGAGATATTTGCCAGTCAGGTATGTTGGTCACAATCAAACCCCTGGCCATCATAGAATCACAAACGTGGGTCTGGAAGGGACCTCAAGAGGTCACCTGGTCTCTTTCCCCACGTTGAGGCAGGATTAAGTATGCTTAGACTATTGTAGGAAAAGTTCATAGTTTGACCTTGTGATGCTGTATGGAATCTGGGGGGCACTTGAGGATATTATGAATATTAATATTGTAAAATTGTAATGTTATGTCAGATATGCCATGTAAGGTATCTGCAAAAATGTTATGATTTGCCAGATATGATAAACTCATTTATGGGTTTGTATCACCTTTGTATTATGAGTTATAGATATGTATGTCTGTATTTCAAACTTGTGCTATGTTCTGGGTGTCACTCCCAGACAGTTTGGCATCAGCACTGCCTCGCCTGCTTGATGGCTCATTGAGAACCATCAACTATATAATTGACCCATTGAGAGAAGACAGATACATCTTATGACTCAGCAAAGCATGCAGGGGCAGGCCTATGGACAGGACTCTACGGCTTTCAGGCCGTGTGCTGGGCAGCTGGTGTTTGAAACAAAGGAAGCACAGGCTGCATGGCAAAAGACTATAAAAGGCAGCTGCATCTTCTCCATTTTGTCTTCAATCCTGCTTCTTACTTCTGGAGTAACCTTTCTACAAATGAAGCTCTGAACAAAGGACTGAATGACCCATCAAAGCTGTGGATGGGAGTGGACCACATCCACCCTGACTGAATTGGCTTTGTCAACACTGGTTCTCCACTTGTAAGGTAACTCCCTTTTCTTCATTTGCAAGTATATTTATACCTGTTTCTATAATTTTCACTCCATGCATCTGAAGAAGTGGGATTTTTTACCCAGGAAAGCTTATGCCCAAATAAATCTGTTAGTCTTTAAGGTGCCACCAGACTCCTCGTTGTTTTTGTGGATACAGACTAATGCAGCTACCCCTTTGAAGCTGTGGATGTGATCCAGAGGGATTTTCAAGCTGGCAAACTCACCAATACTGCTAGGAACCTGATATATGGACTTTGAAGTCTTTGTATGTATGTAACTGCTTTACCATTTAACATCTCTCTTCTTGTTCTTCCTTTTTTCTTTATAATAAAACTTTAGTGTTAGATACTAAAGGATTGGCTGGCAGCGTGGTATTTTGGGTAAGATCCAAATCTATATTGACCTGGTAATGTGGCTGGCCCTTTGAGGTACAAAGAACATTTTGCATATGTGAGCAGAGTTTAAAATAACTTCTCACTGTACTGGACCTAGGTGCTGATTGGGGGCCAGAGATTGGAATGCAATAAAAGGGGCTGTGTGATTTCTTTTTTTGCTTCTTGATAACCAGTGTGGGGGATCAGAAGCACAGTTTGTAACCAGTTGGGAGGTTTAACTTCAGTGTTACTCCCAAGACTGCTCTCCCTTTTGCAGCCTGCCCTGACCTTGGCACCACCAGTGTGGGCTGCCCCAGGCACCACAGGTCACAGACCTGACCTAGGGAGAACTGTTTGACAAATAAGTGACTCTAACCAATATCCTCTCTCTGAAAATGGGACTTTGATGCATTTTGATTAGGATTGTTTTGCAGTTTAAGTTTCAAAATGCTCTATTTTGTTTTGGAATTTTTTTCTGTATATTTTAATCAATAATTCTCCAAATTTTGCCATTAATTTTCTAGTGTGTTTGCCATGGAACAAGGCCTGGTCTACACTTAAAATTTATAGCAGCAAAGCTATGTCAATTAAGGGTGTGGAAGTTTTTTTGTTTTTCATTTTCCAACCAACATACCTATGCTGGTATAAGCCCAAGTGTTAGCATACACTTATACCCTCATAAAAGTGCTTTTTGCCAGGGCAGCTTATTCTATTCATGGAACCTGTATACGCTATATTGACAGAAGCACTTCTATGCCAGTAAAGACTTCATCTACACAAGTGGCAGTTGCTAGTATAGCTATACCAGTGCGAAAAAAACTTTTCTAGCATAGACAAGTCCTAAGCAAGCCAAGTTCTCTGTACTCAAAACACCAAATCATGTTGTATGGTGATGGGTTATGTTAATATCTTTGACTCTGATCCCATTTATTCCATCAAAATATTCACGTGATTCTAGGAGCTGGGACGTTAAGGAAAACACCAAATATCATGAGTCATGATAAAATCAGGATAGTTGGCACCAATGCTTTCCCAGCAGTTAAATTATGTTGGAACAAGCCAGGCTGGGAAAGCAATTTTAAGAGTAGAAACACAAGCTAACTTTGAATCCCAGCCCTATAATCCTCTTTCTGATGGAATCATGCTAAGGCGAAATGGCAGGTCAGAGATGAGGTCAGGATCACAGGTCTGTGGAAAGGGGATTCCAGCTGGGGATAGTTAGAAATCCCTAATGGTGTCCCTAAACCCCTAAAATTTGGCTAGTTTCTTGGTGCCATCCATCCTGGAATCAGCTGATTTTTTTCCCTAAAGGATTTAAGATTTCAGAACCCTTCGTTTTAAGGAGTGGAGTATTAACCCCAGTGTTTTGGCCCCGTTCTAATTCTGGGACTTGCATCCTGTTCAATTATTTAATATTTGCATATAGCACTCCACAGAGGAAACAAAGACATAAGGAGTTTACCAGGTGTGATACATGTGGAACAGCATAACACTGGCAGGGAAGGAGGGGGCTTGCACAAAATAAAGAGAGAAAGCTGCTTGTCTTCACCCTGCACACAAAGTTAAAAAAGTGTGTATTTTATTAGGTTGACACATGCTTGTGCAGTTTCTACTAGACCCAGGATTCTCCTTTGCCTCCTGTTCTCTTAAAGAGATGTCTGCATTTCACCCTTGGATGGAGCATCCCCACAGATGCAGCCTGTAAAGCTGGGACCCTTCAGGATAATGATAGGCACGAGGATAACATCACTGTGCGTTAGAGATTTCATTACTCTTGTTTCAGGACTCAGCTGCCAGCTCACACAGCAAGTGCTGGGCCTTGTAACCAAGAGGGCAGCCAATCAAAAGGAATAAACCCAAACAAAGTCCAGCTCTGAAGTGGAAGGAGCCATGAGAGTGCGACAGGCTGTGCAGCCACATATATTCACGTTAAAGAACAGAGCCCGTTTGGCACCACAACCAGACAGCTTCCCAGATGCTCCTCTTATAACTGTCCCTGGCTTTTCCCCTCCTATGGCTTCTGAGCTCTCATATGAGCTAGGATCGGAAAGCAGGCTTGATACACAGGTTAGTGGCTTTGTCGTGTTGATGGGCAGTACCTCCCTCTCCAGGGCAGAGTTGCTGGAGGCTGCAAAGTCAGGGTTTCATGGGGGATGTTCTAGTCTTTGTCTTCTCTGTGCAATGTCACCAGGCTCTCAGATTCAGGAGTGTCTGTGCTGGTATGTGTCCATCTCAATGCTTGTCTTCTGGAACTCTGGCTCAGGCTAGGGTGCGTGAGGCTGGTGCTGAGGGTGGGGGGTCTCTCCCTGGCCTCATACTAGGAGCAAAGGCTGCACCAGCCTGGCTTTCACTTTGCTTTATGGTATTTCAAATACTGAAGCAAAAATATACAGATGAGTAAAGAGCAGTTTGTTTTCAGTGCCAAGGCAGACCTCCCTGCACTGTTCCCTAGTGTAACACCACTGAAGTTGGTGCTGTTACACCAGGGATAAAATTGGACCCTAATAGCTTCCCAGTAAGCTCCGCTCCCATTATCCCCTCTCCCATGCTGACCCCTTCCCCATCACACCCTTCTTTCATGTCACTTCTCAGCTCCTTCTTTTTTCATGTTGGTCCCACCCCCTAATTTAAACAGTGGAAGCTAAAACAAGAATAGTGACAACTCGCTGGAGAAGGAAGGCTGGGAGTGGAGGTGGAGGTCCTGGGCTGCTGAGAGCTGAAATGACAGGCCAGGAGTTGAAAGCCCTGGCCCCAGAAGGTGAAGAGGGACTGCTGGGAGGGGAGCCTGGGTGAAGTCCCAGCCTCAGAGGGAGAAATGTGTCTCCAATTAATCTTCCTCCTGCAGCCGTTCACTTGGCTGGATGTAGTTATCTTCAATGAAGCCATCATCATCCTCCAGTTGCAGCCCAGCAGCACTAGGCATGGATTGGTTCTCCCCCCAGGCAGCCCCCCTCTCAGCATGGCTGCCTCCCATCGAGCTGGTGTCAGGCAGTGGCCGGTGGCGGTAGCTGGCGAAGTTCTTATGGAATAGTTTGCACTTTGCAGCCAGTGCAATCAGGATGGAGATGCCAACAGCTGATACAAGGAAGCCCACCAAGTATGGCCAGCTGTTCCCTCCCTTCCCTGCAGATGACATGGTGGTTGCTGCAGTGGTGGTTGCTGCAGAGGAAAGAGAGACGGAGTAGGTCAGGGAATCCCCCTGTCTCACCTGTATCTTCCTGATGGGTGAGGGATTGCCAGGGCCTACTACCACAGACACAGGGTGAATACTTGGGCTGATGCTCCATGAGCCACAATGGTGCTGCTTAATGATGCCTATCAGAATGGTAGCATTTTACACCCACTTCACATTCTCTTTGCATGAGTGCAAATGATTGCATGGTGAATTGGGCCCAGTGTGTTCAGAGCTGTGATTCTGAAGTTGCCTGCGCAGTTTCAATTTTCAGCCTAACAGAAAACACCATTAAAGCATGTACAGCTTTGTATGAAAGGAAATTGAGTGTTTGATTATTAAAGGGGAACAAGGGAGTTTGTATATTAGTGAATTTGGAAGAGTTACTAATAGTTAAAACCCTCAATCACTTTTTCTGCGATAATTTGGGTTGGTGACACACAATCTCATGACTGGGAGACAATTTACCAAGGCTTTGTCTAGGTTAAGATTTAAAGGTATGTTAGATCATGTTATCTGGCTCCATCTAATTAAAACCTTATAAAACTTTAGTCAAGACAAAGCAAATTGTTCTTTAGCAGGTGCAAGCTGCGCAAGTTAAGGTCTCAGCGGAGCAAGTGTTACAGTACAATTTGCTTTGTCTTTAGCTTTGAAGGTTTTAATTAGATGGATCCAGCTAATCTAACACATCTTTAAATCCTAATTTTGGCTATGTCTTGTTGTGGAAAATTGACCACATGGTTGATTTTTGGATCAGACAGCCTGAGGCTCCTTTATTGATCAATCAAGCATGCATGCATGGGGGAGTCAGCCAAGGCAGCCGAAAGCCCCCGACAGATAAAATTCGAGAGCTTATATAGGATAAAACCTATATAAAAATGATATGCTTCCTTAAAGTTTTACATCCATATAAGGAATAAAGCAACGCAAGCCTTTTCTGTTTTTCCTTACTTTTGCCCTTTGCGGTTTCTTGCTCTGTCACCTGGCAGCTATTAATCATAAGCTGTTACAAAAGGTTAATTCTACTTTTATAATTTCTACAGTTAGTTCTGCTTTTATGATTTCTCTTTACCTTTCTTTTTCTATCTCTTCCCCCCAACCCCCAGGCCATACTCTACAAACTGCTTAACTAAGTTTAGGCCCTGACCATGTTTCCCCCCCCAGTCTTCATTGTTAAAAATAATAAATAAGTGAGGTCAGTCACAGGCGAGGGTATAGCTTAGCTGCCTTGTGGTAAATACTACAGTGCCTTGTCTCCACTAGGATTTTAAGGTTGGATGATTAATGTACCTTAGTTAACTTTTTTTTTTTGGCAGTGAAGATAAAGCCTAACAAAATTGGGAATGAGGGACAGGGGATGGATCACTTGATTACTTGTTCTGTTCATTCCCTCTGGGGCACCTGGCACTGGCCAGTGTCGGAAGACAGGTTTCAGAGTAGGAGCCGTGTTAGTCTGTATCCGCAAAAAGAACAGGAGTATTTGTGGCACCTTAGAGACTAACAAATTTATTTGAGCATAAGCTTTCGTGGGCTACAGCCTACTTCATCGGATGCATGTAGTGGAAAATATAGTAGGAAGATATATACACACACACAGAACATGAAACAATGGGTGTTACTATACATACTATAAGGAGAGTGATCAGTTAAGGTGAGCTTTTATCAGCAGGAGAGAAAAAGAACTGTTTGTAGTGGTAATGAAAATGGCCCATTTCCAGCAATTGACAAGGAGATATGAGGAACTGGGGGGAGGGGAGGGAATAAGCATGGGGAAATAGTTTTACTTTGTGTAATGGCCCATCCACTCCCAGTCTTTGTTCAAGCCTAATTTAATGGTGTCCAATTTGCAAATTAATTCCAATTCAGCAGTCTCTCGTTGGAGTCTGTTTTTGAAGTTTTTTTGTTGTATTATTGCGACTTTTAGGTCTGTAATCGAGTGGCCAGGGAGATTGAAGTGTTCTCCAACTGGTTTTTGAATGTTATAATTCTTGACGTCTGATTTGTGTCCATTTATTTTTTTATGTGCCAGCAATGCCCCTCTGCCATGTACATTGGCCAAACCGGACAGTCTCTACGTAAAAGAATAAATGGACACAAATCAGACGTCAAGAATTATAACATTCAAAAACCAGTTGGAGAACACTTCAATCTCCCTGGCCACTCGATTACAGACCTAAAAGTCGCAATAATACAACAAAACAACTTCAAAAACAGACTCCAACGAGAGACTGCTGAATTGGAATTAATTTGCAAATTGGACACCATTAAATTAGGCTTGAACAAAGACTGGGAGTGGATGGGCAATTACACAAAGTAAAACTATTTCTCCATGCTTATTTCCCACCCACACACAGTTCCTCATATTTCCTTGTCAATTGCTGGAAATGGGCCATTTTCATTACCACTACAAACAGTTCTTTTTCTCTCCTGCTGATAAAAGCTCACCTTAACTGATCACTCTCCTTATAGTATGTATAGTAACACCCATTGTTTCATGTTCTGTGTGTGTGTGTATATATCTTCCTACTATATTTTCCACTACATGCATCCGAAGTGGGCTGTAGCCCACGAAAGCTTATGCTCAAATAAATTTGTTAGTCTCTAAGGAGCCACAAGTACTCCTGTTCTTTTTGTCGGAAGACAGGATAATGGGCTAGATGGACATTTGGTCTGACCCAGTAGGGCCATTCTTATGTTATGTTCTTATAACTTGAATGTAAAATGCCAGGATTTGTGTAAATGGAATAATCCTGAGAAAAACAAAAGGGTGGCTCTCCACTCTGTGGAGTGGAATATAGGAATTTGCAAATGTTTTGTCTAGGAAACAGCGTGATGAGGAAGGAGTAATGTTATGTTTCATTTCATTAAATACTGAGAAGCTGTTAAATGGCAGCTGTTCATTGGAATAAATGGTGTAAACTGCCACAGTTTTGCTAATGTAAATGGTTTCTCTCAATTACTAACACTGGGTAGGTTAGGTTCAGACCTTTCCTGAAGAATTTTCTTTAAAACCCTAGAAGAGGATGATCTGCAGCTCAGCATAAGGTCTTGGGGGAGGGATAGTTATCCTGCTCAGATGGCAAGAGATCATTCAGATTTCATAAGTCTCCCACTAACTAACCTCTGGGCTCCTGCATTGTATTGGTGCCTGTCATGTAGTATCTGAGTCTCTAATAACTTTGAGATTAGTAACTTTTTTGTTCTGTAAAATTATCTGGTGCTTTATCTGACAACGAAGCGTTCCTCAAATGCGGCCACTGGGGGCTTTTCCTGTGGCCACAACAGCCTCCTGTGCGGTGATGGGGGGGGGGGCACAAAACATCAGGCCCTCTCCCTCCCTCCCTGTTGCTTCTGGATGCCCCGCCCTGCACTGCCTCTGGAGACAGGTGGGGCACAACACTGCAGGAGCAAGGTGAGTTCTTGACCCACCATGGGTGGGGAGGGACAGTGGGGCTTGGGCAGCAGGCTCCACCAGCAGGACTTTGGGAGCCTGGCTGCAGGGCTTCGGGAGCAGCCCCCCGGCTCCAGCCATGCAGTCTGGCCTCCGGCCACATGGGAGCGGGCACCAACCTCTGGCTGTGCGGTGGCGGGGCTTCCTCCTCCCCACCCCCCCATCACCCTGGGCCCCGGCTGCCTCCCCCTCCAATCCGCCCCATCCAGGCTTTAATTTGTCCTGGTGCTTGCTGAGAAAAGTGATATGAACAAACATACAAATATCACTTTTCACAGCGTTATTTTTAAATTATTGAGTCTGCAATAAAAAACCCTACATACATAAATTACAATGATTTGGACGTGTATATTTAATTTATTTTTCCTAAAGTTAATTAAGTATTTAAGAAAAAGGTGTCAGTGTGGCCACCAGCAAGAGTTGGTGGTTGCACTCTGAGGCCACCAAAAATGTTGTTGTGAAAACCCCTGCTCTAAGGGTATGTCTACACTGCAATTAGACGCTCATGGCTGGCCTGTGCCAGCTAACGTGGGCTCAGGCCAAGGAGCTGTTTAATTGTAAAGCAAATGTTCTGGCTCAGGCTGCAGCCTAAGTTCTGGGGCCATTCCCCATTGCAGGGTCCTAGAGCCCAGCCTCCAGCCCAAGCCCAACACGTACACCAGAACTGAGCAGCTCCTTAGCCAGAGCCAGTTGGCACAGGCCAGCTGTGGGTTTTTAATTACAGTGCAGACGTCTCCTATGTGACTGTTACCGCCCTTGTCCCCAGTCGGGACACCACACGCTCACTCTGACAAGGTCCAGAGCAGAACTCCGGCAGTCTCTCCAGCTATTGATGCTGCCAAATGCATGTAGCTGCCAGGAATGTTAGTTACATTCCAGAGCAAGCCAAACCTAGCAGAACAGAGTGAACCAAAATCTTACAATGGGTTAGTTAGGAGGCAGAGCAGGAATTCAGACCTCACATACTGGATCAGTGGGGTATATACTTTGGGAATATGCCACTGATAGGAAAACTGATTAAATAGGGAGTTAGAGCATTCACATGGGACTAGAGTTTCTGTAGCTGCACAACTTACTGTCATTTCTCTGCACTGTGGCCAGCAGTTTTCTTCTGAGTGAAAGTGGAGCCTGAGGAAACCACTGTTTTCTCCTGCAGCCCAGATCCTGAAAGTTCAGGGTCTTGACCTCCTGGCCCTGGAGTTTTGGTGGGGAGGCACAAAGTACTTGCACACCTAGGAGACAAAAACTGACTCAGTTGCAGGGGGAGGGGCTCCACCTTCCCACCCATCCTTCCATCCCCATTTTGGAGGGAGGTCTTCACCCTTGCTCTTTATTATATAAAGAGCACAAGAGAGTGCACCTGCTAATGCCCACCCACTTAGCCTGTTCTCAGCTTCTAGTGAAACCTAATGGAAGAAACAAGAGAAGAAATCACTAAATATGGAGCCATCAGCAACAAGCAAAATTAGGGGGAGGAGTTGCTGTGAATGTGAACTGCCTGTTACCTGTAAAGCATCAAATACATTTAGGCTTGTTCTCCACTACAGATAGGAACCTCAGAGGAGAGGCAGGGCAGGGCAGGACCTTGGAGGAGGGGCGGGGCAAGGGTGTTCAGGTTTGTGTGAGTAGAAAGTTGGCCATTTATTCAGATGCCTAAATATGAATTAGGAGGTGAACTTTAGGTTCCCATTTTCCAAAATCTTAGCCAAACTGAAAAAAAAAAGCCTTTTCTCCTTTGCATCATTTCTAGGCATCTTGGGCATTACTTGTGACCACAATAAATAAAAACTTTCAAAGTGATTTTTCAGTTGATGTCCCTTAAAAAATATTAGAGAAACTCTAGAAAATAGTCTGCTGGAAATAAGCC